ACTACACCTACCTAACTCACAACGGATGCAGTCACTCCTAACTCTTTCAAAAGCAAACGCAGACACTCCGGTGAGCCTCCAAAGGCGCACCTACAACCTACAAACTCCCCTGGAGCACAGCAGCTGCAGGACAACCAAAAGTAACATGCCTTAAGCATGACTTTTCACAGTTCTTGCTGCTATCGCTAATGCTGTTACAGAGACATGTGCTGCTAGTCCTGACACACGCAACACGTGGTCGCATTCTATCCGTGTCTTCCAGTCTGCCGTAATACAGGTAGCTTCTGTGGAGCATACACGACATGCTAACACTTAGTCCTCGTCGAAATTCAACTGGCAGCCAGCCAGCTTCCTGGATCCACAAACCGGCGAGGGAAATCTCGGAATGGTTCCGAAACCGACAGAGCAATAACGGTGCACGGGAACGGTGCACGGGTGCACTAGGGAAGGGGCAGAGAGCGATTTTTTGTGGCTTATGTAAGGAAATCTCAGACGAAACTTGACATCTTCGATTCTTGACAGTGCGGATATCAAAACACATCGAAGCGGCTGTATTGGGTCTAACTGACATTTGCCGGCGACCTCGCAAACGAGCGAGATCCGGCTCGCACTTACGGGACAAGTTGGACAAGGCAGGAAAGACCATGGGTTGGATCGAGGTGCAGTACCGGTCCGGTGGCGCTGCCCGAATCGACTCTCTACCAAACTCTCTCCTGTGAAACAAACCACCAGATAACTTCAAGCCTCAGAAACCACTGAACCAGTGCTTTGGCAATGTCCTCAAGCCAGAAGTATCGACCAATCGAACCTGTGGTCAGAAGTTGCTTGAGAGCCTGGGACTTAAGTCGCGGCAGAGAAAAGTGCAGACCGAGTGGAGGACACTCCAGGAATGAGTGCCCATAAGAGCCAGCAGGCTGGGTGGGGGGACACTCCAGGAATGAGCCCACAAATGCCCCCTCTTGTGTTTTTTACCAGGCGATTATGGCCAAGCGCCGTCGCCAAGACCTGCGGCTCTGTGGTGCCCTCGGCCGTTTGTGAGAGCGGTACTGGCCTTGCGGTCTGACCAAAGAAGCCAAACGGTGCAAACCTGAACCTCTAAAGCCGCTCGGTGGGCCTCGCCGGCCGCTTGGGCCGCCGCGCTTGCCGCGGCTTCCGCCGCTCGCTGCACATCTGCCGAGGATTGTGCTTGGGCCTGTGGCAATGGGTTTTTGTTGTGACATATATATATATATATTTATATTTATATATATATGTACAAATATGTATGAACAAGCGGCAGTGCCCTCTGTGCAAAGCCGACATTTGGCACGTACTGCCTGTAGCGGCACGCGGTGCGGGCAGCTTGAGTGCGCAAAGCCCGCATTTGACAACTTGGAACGTGCCAGTTACACACTTTTATTGGCAACTATTTTATAGGGCCATTTTCCTGCAACTTTGAAAGTTGCCGGCTCTCTCTTATATCCATGTTTC